TATTTGTATAAATATGATATTAGTGAATACACATAGAAGTTAACTAAAAATCTTATAAATACAAAAAATAAGGTTGATACTTTTTATCAATAATTTCTATCAAAACAAAGATAAAGGATAGCAAATCTTTGTTATAAAAGAACTACTCTTCAAAAAATATTTCATTAGATCTCCTATTTTTATTTATAATTTTTGTATATTTATGGCGCTAAAAAGATGAAAAACCAATAGCTATCAAATTCAACTTAAGAGTCATCATTTGTTGACTTGCCAAAAGAGATATTGTAATTATCACAACCTTTAAGATGACATAATCTAGATAAAGACCTTTAAAAATGACATGTTTTTCATTGAATAAATGATGAGATACAATGTGTTTGATATCACAACCTTGGAAGAGACTCCCAATGTTTGGTAATTTTATTGGAGGTATGAACAATTTTTAATGGTGTTACAAATGTTTTGTGTGAAAGAAGATACAAATGCCTCGACAATAATCAAATAATATGGTAATCTTCCCACCTTGAATTGGAACATTATCAAAAGATGAGAAGACCTATCAATTACCTTCAAAAAGAATAAAGATGAAAGTTTGTGGCAAATACAATTTATTGCATCTTGGACTTTTTTAACATGTAATCATTTTTCCTTGTAGAACTCGTTCTTAAAAGTGGCAATATATATATTTAGTCTAATAGTTACCTAAATATTATGAATAGATAAAATTAGATTAATTTCATAGTATCTTGTAGAGAAGCTTCCTAGAAGCTTTATAGATGTAGTATTGTATTACTTGAAATTTGCTTGAGATTACACTAGATACTTAGTTGTAGAAAGAAAAATAGAACTTACAATAAAATGATCCTAATAATTCTAATAGAATCTCAAAAAAATTCTAATTAAATTATAAAAATGCTAATAAATCTTTAATTAAACTTAAAAGAAGTCTCAAGAACTTACAAAAGAAATATAAAGAAATAATGAATTAATCTTAATAAAATATATATACAATATAGAAACCTTAAAAATATATAAAAAATAGATAACTTAATTGAATCTTAATCAAATCTTAATATAACCTTCAATAAGTCTTAATAAAATCTTAAATTAATCCTAACCAAATATTAAATCAAATTCTAATAAAATCCTATTTTAATCCTATCTGAGTCCTAATCAAATCTTAAATAAATCCTAAAAAAATTCAATAAAATCCTAGTCAAATCCCAAACTTTAACCAAAGCCTAGAAAAATCTTAAATCTTAATCAAATTCTAAACCAAATCCTAAAAAAATCCTAAGCAAATCCTAATTAAATCCTAATTAAATCCTAAATTCTACACCAATTCTAATCAAATTCTAAAAAAAACTTAAATTCTAACCAAATTTTAAATAAATTTTAATTAAATCATCAATATTAATCTTTTATTAAATCTTAAATCAAATCCTAACAAAATCCTAAAAAAATCCTACATCCTAAACCAATTCTAATCAATCTTTAATCAAATCCTAAATCTTAAATAAACTCTTAAGAAATCCTGAAGCAAATTGAAAATTCAATAATTAATGCTTAAATTATTGATTTTGACTCAAAATTTGTAAAATTTTCAACAACTAAGTTAGCATCAAGCAATATTTTTTTGAAGAAGATTGCACATACCAATTGCAAGAAAAACTCCCAAAATCTCTCAGTTGTTCATTGCTTTCCTTCTTTGACTTGATTATTGATCTTTTAACAAAAATTTCTCCTTGTTGAATCATTAAATTGCTTCAAAATTTGAATTATATGTAGATATTCATATCTAAATTTCTTTTTTTAATTTTTATTTTAGTCAAATTAGAAAATATTACTAAATTAAGAAATCTTTTATTAATCCTTAATTTCAATTATCTAAGATCATATCATATAAAAATTCTTGTACTCTTCATTCTAATTGCTTAATTATTTTTTTAATATTATATTATTTTTAAGTACATGTCTATTTTTTTATAAATTATACAATAATATATAGAATTTTTGGTTCTTCGAGGTTCATGCTCTTGATATTTTAGCTGCATATAATGCCTAACCATGGCATTTTTCCTTAGCTTCTAGGCCTTGTGCAAAATAGATGCCCTTGCCTTTGCTATCATTGCAAATTTTTTGAAATTGAACTATAAGGCACTGAAATAATCTTCTTCTTTTTTTAATCTTTATAGATTTTTTACAAGGTATACCTACATACATTCAATTTTATCAAGACTTGCACTTAAAAAAGCAATTTTGTATCAATTCTTCAAAAATTTACCTATTCTTATACCAACCTTCTATTTTTGCCTAATTTTTATCAAAAGATCTAATAAATTTGTTATTGTTAATACAAAATTGATTCTTGCCATCTTTATTTTTTCATTGCATTCATTGCTATTTTTTTAACCTTTATATATTCTTTAGTGAAATATAAACAAAAAAATTAATAGAATATACAAATTTGTCTCATATTTATTATATCTATACCTTGATTTTATCTCAAAAGCAATTGCTTTTTGGTTATGACAAACTCTTATAATAAGAAACCTTGCATGAATCTTCTTGTCCCTATTAACTATTTTCTAAACTTTAAGTATTATGAAATATGATTGCTTTCACCTTGTATATTATGGTTATTTTTTATTTGTGAGTAAGCAATCTAAATCACCCCTCCACATTTGATTCTTCAAGAAATTTGTATTTAGTCAAGAAGCAAAATGTTGTAGTATTTTTTAAATTATATCAGCTTTGATATTCTAAGTTGGGTATTTATTCAAATGTTCTATCTTTGACTGGCACTATATTTTATTGCTCGCAATATTTGGTATTCTGTAGTAGCATATTTAAAAAAATATATAAATTATAATTTATTTATTATTTATTATTATTATTATTATAATTACTTCTTTACAAGAAGAAGTTCAAGTTTTATAAAAAAAAAAAATCAATTATTCTTTGTCTTTTAAATTTGATTGCAAAATATGATTTGACACTATTATAGTGCACTATTTTAAAAATTATAATTCTACCTATAATATTAACGATACTATTTATATTAGTGTCCATCTAACTCATAAAAAGTCTTTTTTATTGTCTCCAATGATCATCATTGAGAGTATACTTTCTATTATAATTATAGAACTTTTATATGAAAACTTCAAATTCCATGAGATCTTTTGACTAGATTTTGAAGAAACAACAAAAATTGACACCATTGTATGAGCAGTGTAGCATCATGTATAGTAGCAATTAAAAGCAAATCACTTCTTTATTATACTTGCTTTATACTTTGGATGATATGCTATACACTTCTATCATTTTTTTGTTTTATAAGGAATTTTAAAATATTTAATATTGATTCTCATTGATTTCAATTTGGCTTATTATTTTCTTGATTTTGGAACTTTTTTTTAGAATCACAAGAGTAATTGCAGTAGCAAAGATGGAAAGCCTACTTAGACCACATAAAAACTCTAAGTCCATCTACACAAGCTCTCTGAGTAGAAGAAAAGTGAAGAGGATAAATTTTATAAGAAGAAGAAGACTACCTCAATGCTTAAACCTATCTCGGTGCTCCGTGGTTTAGTTCCAAAAATTCTGCAATAAGAATAGAGGCAAGGGCATCTATTTTGTACAAGGCCTAGAAGCTTAGGAAAAGTGCCATGATTGGGCCTTATATATAGCTAAAAAAGAAATAGATTATAATTTATTACCATCTAAGTATGTATTTGTAATTATCACAAAAGTGAGGAGTAGATATGCTATTATCAAGAAGACATAGGTATTCTTGATATTTTAGAATATTTCAAGGACATGTATGATATTTTTTTTTTTCAAATTTAAAATTGTAATTAAAAGTAACGGTTTTATTAAAATTAAGAAAAAAAGATTGGTCAATCATTTCTTTAATATTTTGTGATACTTTATAATATGAAAATATTACAATATGTTTTTAATTGTTTGAAATATAATATATATGTATGTTCTTAGAATAAAGATTTGAATAGATTTTGTATATGTATATATATATATATATATATATATATAATTTATCAAAAAAAACTATATGTTTTTAAAACACATTTCCAAAATATTATTTTTAATAGATAGAATTTTTAAATTTTAACAAAGCTTTTTAACATTTGAATCTTTAAATAAATATGCCATATAATATTAAATAAGAATTTATTCTATATACAATTATTACTACAAAATGTATCATTAGAACAAGTATATGTTAAATAGGATGTTTAATGATTTGTTAATATTATTCACATACAAGAAACTTTAGCTTCAATCATCTTCTGAACCTTTCTAGAATTCTCTACAAATTTGTACTACAATCCATAGATTTTTATAACCTTGTATAACCTTTTATAATATTATAGAATATTCCACAATATGGTGGTTATTTCTGAGAAATCTTCAAAAATCTTTTATTGTATTCAATAATTATCATAAATCTTCTATAATATTAAAAAAAATATTTCATATAATTTTTTGTAAAAACAATTATTATATAACCTTAAAACCTTTTCTTTAAAATTTTGTAAGACTTGGTTGTTGTTGAATAAATAAAAGCTAGTTAATGAATATCTTACTCTTACAAATTCAAGTTTTAAAGTAATCTACACATTGACATGTTCTTACTCTTCTTTTATGTAAATTCTATACATCTTTGACAATTTGTTGTTTTGAAAAAATAAATAATGTAGTTTTGACATTTTTAGAAAACAATCAATTATATATGGTTAATCATTCATTAAACATCACAAATCTAAATTAGTTTTCTTTTGTTGAAACGTCTATCTAATACATTAATTTTTTTGTAATACTAGATATTCAAAAACGAGTTTGAATCCCCTAAAAATGATTTTAAAAGTTAAATCAAAATAAATTGAGAAAAAATTGAAGATATTCTTAAATTTAATTTCAATTATTTTTTGCATTAATTCCTCACTTTAGGAACAAGATACCAATAAAAATTTAAGTCATTTCATCAAAATAACCTTAAATTTTAATACGCATAATTGATTGTACACAGCTCTTTATTCACCTCAATATGTGAAAGTGTTAGAAATTTCTATCTTTATTGGGATCATCAGAAAGGCATGATGATAGATCTGTCGCCGCTACTCTGTACAGTGATGGAAGGTGATTGCGTGTAAACAGGAGTGCTTTGAACAGCACGCATAGCCTGAAGAGCCATCTCAGAATGCAGCTGCACACATGCCATGGCCAACTGAGACAGAAGATGTCAAAAACAGTCACCAAAGGATATTATCAAACATTTTGCTGTGATAAAAAGCAGACCCAGATGCAGTATTCTCCTATCCCCTCCTATCAACTAAAATGAGACGAGAAATTCAGATTACACTTCTTTGTCCAAGGGATCCTTCTTGCAGAACAGCAACTAAAATCTGTAATAAAAAGTCCGCCATAGACATGTTTTCCAGACATAACCATCCCATTTATTCCTCACGTACTACAAGCACATAAATAGATTAAAAATTTGTAAAAACTTACCGTTGCACAGTCGGAATCAGTTTCATTGTTAGCTATGCCGAGTGCCCATTCGCGAACCCACCCCAATCCCGATGCAATACTTGAATCTGTGCCAACGATGGCATCGACGACTTGAGAAGGATGAAGAGCAACAATGACTCGTGATGCTGCATACAATGCTGCCCTTCTAACATAGGCTTCTCGGTGATTTGCAACCGCCCTGCACATGACGGTAAACCATTGAATTGCTGATTGCAATAATATGATGAATGACCTTATCCTTGAGCATGTTTTGCGACATCATTCTAGTGACCCATCCCAGTACAAAGGAAAATGTCTAATGCATGCTCCTTGCCCACGAACATCAACTCCATAGTTTGGCCTAAAAGTGTGGAAAAACGCTACCATAAGTAGAAGAGTATTAGTACCTTGACCGGAGTAAATCCAGTAAATTAATTCCTAACACAACAGCTTCTGGCTGAGATGTGATACATTCCATGCATACTCCAAGAGTGAACAAAATTTTTCCAAGGACAATGAATCCCGATTCCAGAAAGTCTACACCGTGATCCTTCTTATCGTAGTCACGCATGATCGGAAGCATGAATGCAGCAGCCAAAGGTGCAAATTGGTTTTTCCCTACTGGTTCATGTGAAGAGAATCCCTTCTGGCGTAGACTGTCCTCTCGTAATTGCATGGACCGAGGAGCCCATTTTCGAGATTTCCCTGGTCTTCGATCACCTTTACGTAAAGGAAGCTCACGTTCATAGCGCTGAGCCCAACCCACCAAAGAATTTCCTGGCATAAACGCAGGGACTTCAGACCAGGGGCCCGCCCCTGGTGGATCTCGAAGGTGACTTGGTCTGTACCATGGACTTTGGAGTGAGGATCCCGTTGGCTCTGTAATTAGTCCTCGCTGCTGTAGTTGACTCCTTGAATGATTAACAGTTGATTTTCCAGCCAATTCCTGAGCGGCATCTGAAAGGTTGTAACACAATTCTGCTGAGGAGCTGTATGAACAAAGAAACATAACCAAGAAACAGAAGATAAAAGGAATGATTTAGATCATGGCGATAAGTCAAGAATCTGAAGCTAGTATAGATCTCAAATATTGGAAAACAACTTCTATGCTTGGTGCAAATGATAGTGTTCGCAATGAGAAATTGCACCTGAAATTACATCAAGAAGTAGGAGACGCTGGCTAATGTCCAGGTGTGGAGAGAATACTTCCTGAGTGACCATCACAATACAACTCAGCGGAGCACATACAAGCAAAGCCACAAGAGCCCCATGTCTTTGTTTTTCAAGCGTGTCCTCTTCCCCTTCAACTGCAGTAGCCCCAGGCCTGACATGCACGAGCGCCTGTGTAAGCTCCTCTGCCGTGTTATCAAGCTCTACTGGCATTGCTCTGATAAGTTGTTCAGCAATTTGTAAAGATTTCTCAACCTTCAACAAAATTACACATTGAGAAGGTTAAAAGCATGTGTAACACAAATCCAAGTTCAAACTATTTACCAATACCTCCATTGGCATGAGAATCGATTTTTCGAGATTCTTATTTACTACACAATCATTAGTGCATTCAAGGGCACGTACTGCATCAGGGTCGTCTGATTTCCGCAAGTTTGCTGCACATTCTCTTAATTGTAAGGGGAGCTTGCGCCTTTCTAACTCAGATTCACCATCCGACATGTCATACGGCTGTAGAGAGCCATCGGTATCACTGTCAAGGTCGCTGCTCGAGTCTGTGGCTTCTCCTTCCGCTTCTTCCAACCATGCAGCATCAACTTGACCCAGATTCACAACAGCATCTGGGTCATCCTCTTCTAGGGCCATCTTTTCACGTCGCTGCCTCCTCAGCATCTGTCTTTCATGACGATCTGCATCTGGGAGAATGCCATCCCTCAGTATTATATACAAGAGAACAGTAGGGCATTTGATGGATGCGAACCCGCATATTCATAACACGAGAGGCCTTGCACAACTCGTTCATCAGGAGGAAAAATATATTAACTTACCATGATTGAAACCAGATACGGAGGGAACTGCAAAACCAGTCACGGGTTTGATGCTATCTACGTCTTCCTTACTTGAACCAGGCACATCACCGGTACTCCGTGTGATACTGCTCTGGCGCTTTTCTTTGGAACTGTCAACTGCCCTGACACTGAGATCATCCCAGTCATCTAGATCTTTCACTTCATCTTCGTCATCAAGAAGCAAAGGCTTTGCAGGATTTATCGCCAAAGAAAAAGTCAAAGCCAAGCGCTTAGACATATCTCGGATTAAGGGAAGTGGACTATCCAGCCGGTCTGCATCAAGATGCAATAGCAGCATTAGTTTTCAAGACTACGATGTCAGATTACGTCCAATACTAAAAAAGATAAATAGGCTTTAAAAGAATAAAGTTTCACAGCTTACTTGTAACCCCTTGTAATATAAACCGCATTAATTCACCACATTTGTCCATGTCTTCTTTGTCCATACGTCTAACGCAAATTCCAACAGCTGCTGTGAGATCTGTAATTCCTGGTTAAGCACTCAAAACTCTTTCATCTTCAGACTAGTTCATTTGATTCACATTGTAGAAAAAAGAAAAGAAAAAGAAAAAGCAAAATGAAAAAAACGATCACTCGGATGAGGATACATGCTTGCTTTGGCAATGAAGCTGAACGAATAAAATCGTTAGTTGCCCAAACTTGAGCCAGCCGCGTCACAACTCCTGTGTCCAACTGCAGCACCTTCTTTCCAGATGCTATAGTGATTGGCGTATGTAATACAGAAAACTGTAAAACCCATCTCAAGCAGCGAATGGGCAGAATCTTGACAAACAAACATTTGTCCAAAAACACCATCCTGCAACTCATGAAAAAAATTGGTCACGGCTAAGTAGTTAACGCAAGTTTGTATACGTTTTCAATGATGTCGATTAATATAATCTGGAACGACTGAAAGGTACTACTTGTTCCAGGAAGGATATAGCTTCAAGCATCATCGCCTCAATACATGCTTGCCATTACCGACTCAGTTGCCTCCAACCTACACATCACATTGATTTGCTTGTTCTCGTATAATTCTGTAACCATCAATCTTACAACTACTTCCAGCGACTATTAAACTCGGACGACAGTCTGAATAGATTTAAGCAGCACCGAAAACATCTATCGCAATAACTAACTTCACCGTGATAACCACATACCTTGTCAAATCATGTGTGGAGAGAAGAGAGCCAAATGACATCCATAATAAGCAGTATGCGTATATATCTGTTTCAATTCTGATCGCCATCTCTCTCAACAGAGCTTCCACCCACTTTTCCATGGAATGCAAATCCTTGATGGATGCTGATATTGCGGTCCAGAGATTCCTCTTACACAACGATTTCAGAGCATGTAGTGCTGTTTCATTCATTTCTAGATCTGATTTAACTTCCAGCTTGGCCATGACTTCTTCCATGTGCTGCATAATTACAGGCACATACGCTGCCGCTATCACATCTGCACGGGTACTTGCATTATCAGGATCAAAGAAAAACCTGGTGGTGTAATGCATCACCAGATCAACGTACCTACCATTCCTGAATCTGTCCCCATGCTAATTAGTAAGAAACCATAGGAGAGTATAGTATTACAAACCTGCTTGCCCTCGGCGACTGAGTCTGCTAATAACCTCGCCAATAAATACAATTGTTCCATTATTACAAAGATCCTCATTCTGCAGTATTTGCTCCCAGCATCTTTCACCTGCTGATATCAGCTGTCTTGAAACTGACTTGAAGTAAGTTCTATTCGCAGTTACGTATAAACCCTACATTAGGATAGATTTTTAAGACTCAAACACAACCTTTCATACATGCTAATAGAAGGAAAATGTAGATTTAACCGGACTTGAGGCAGAAGATGATACACAAGAATTTAGATAAAGACATGTACAATAACAGAGAGAAGATTTTCTATAACAAGCATAAAGGAATCATAATTTCAAGCTACATTCAGCGAAAAAGAAAGAAGAACGAGCAGATCGAGTAGCAATTGGAAAAATAGCGAGCTGTAGTAAAAGACAAGCAGCAGATACGGTGACTGAAGGGCGGATGGCGTATCCAATCCAGCTCTGTCTGGTATTGACGCAATTAGTTGTGCAACTTGATATTGATCTTTCAACCAACTCGCTCGTCCTATGTTGCCAAGTCCATCCTCTCGAAGCTTCAGATCAGAACGATGGCCAAAGGATAGACTGATCTCTTGAATACCATCTTGATGCACCAAGCAGATTTGTAGCAGCCTGCCGCACAATGACTTCATTGATTAGAACATGTGCACTCTGCGGGTATAAATGCAGGTTGGCCAAGTAAAAAAGATAATGATATATACATATTCCTTAGTGATTACTTCCTACCCAGCCTTCATCAACAAAATAACAAGTATAGAAAGCTAGTGATGTTAGTTTTTGGACTGAAAAAATAAAACCATCCATAAGACTGTTGTGCTACCTGTAACATGATTTTCTGTAAATCTCTTGCTTAAGACATAACAGTGGAACTGCCAAAGGGATGCCATATGTTCATTAACTGACAGAGAGTGACTGAAGAAAATATGAACCTTTTAGCTTGAGCACTCACTACAATCCTGCTGTCTAAACCACCATGGGACTTTTCCTCCCTTCCATGGTCTGGGACAAGGAAGGGGACTAAATTGAGCAGTGTTTCTTTTGGGGGGCCTTGTCTGAAGAACTCGTCAAAAAGCCATTTTACCCCCAAGGATGGAAAGCATGCAAGCCAGTCCGCAGCGACCTCTGTAAGCAAAATATGGCAACTCAGAACTCAGAAATTAGAATCGTTAAGTGCAGGTAACGCACACATGACACACAATTCTAAGTTCAGGGCCAGAACTCAAATATGCTTGCGATTACTATATCTCAAAAAGATAAGAAGATAGCGATAGAAGAAACAAAATAGGAGTTCAGTCTACGAGAAAAAAAAGAATTAGAATAAAACTCAGAAGTTAGAATCGAGAGAAAAAAGAATTAAAAAGAACTATTAAGGTCGCTGAAGAGTCCCTAGAGTATTTTCGATTCTCCAAACTTTGATTTACCGCGACAGCAAGTTAAGATACCATCCAGCACCATAATGCAAATCATTGTAAGAGTAAGATAGATTACACACGATGCAAGAGTAATGTAGTCAGTGTAGGAAAAACGGAGCTCTCATATAGGGCATGTCTTAGGGTTTGAGAAATGTCTTTTTCTGGATACTCCTCTTTTGCTTTGTTTCGGCAGCCTCGCGCAAGCTGTCATCACCCTCAGCACATGCATAGTAGAATGAGGAAAAAATCGACTACAAATGTGTTTGACGTATAACATTAACCATATATCTAGATCATTTCGGCCCTCCACACTAACTACACCTGAGCTAAGACAGACGGTATAGGGAAACTTTTGGTAGACATTACCTTCTCGATGGCGATCAACTCGGACTCTGCACTTTTATCCTGCCCTGCAACTATAAATTGAGAAAATTGTGTTACGGGATTCTTGAAAGCGTTGACCTCGAATTGATGAAAAAACGACCTCAATTCGCGGCCACACTCAGATTGAAACCGGAGAACACTCAAAAGACTGGCTGATATAAACACTCTGACAAATCACCACACAAGCCACAGGAAACCGGCGTAAATTTGAGGTACAAAAGGTACAGTGATTCAGACTCGGAAAAGATTGCACCACACTTCGATTGATGTATCCCAAATCCTCTGTTTAAGTGTTTCAAGGTGCCCGTGAGCACCAAATCTTATTGCAGCTTACATGAGATAAAGTCCGCAGGAACCATGAAGAAAAGCGAAGCGAACGGGTGCAACGATTGGAGCACAATTGATACATCTACAGCATTGGAAATTGTAGTTGCAACAGCTGTGAGCAAGTCTCCCAGCAAAGAGTCGAGGGGCTTAAAGGTGCTGGCATCATCTACCGTCGCATCATCCTCCAGTGTCGCCATTGCTGTATTCATATATGAGTTAATAAACAAGGCATGCAATTAACATTTTCTAAAAATTTCAAAACATGAGACGAAATCCATACAATTACTACAAAAAACTACACCAGAAAAAATAACTAAATAAATAAATAAATAAATAAAAGAGACCCTTAAACCCTAAAGCCTAGGCATTTGTTCTATTCAAGGCATTCAATAAGCCTTTCTACAACAGCAACCGAAGACTATAATCGAGAAGTACCTGGAGAAATGAACGAGAAATGCACGCTCGCAGCTTCCACAGTTGCTACAAAACCATGTAATCAATCACAATGGCGATCAGCAAGCAGGACACCAAAATGTCGGAGGCGATCTACGACACCAAAAGAAATACTGTGAATGAAGAGAAGCACCGCGACAGGAGACGAATGAGGGATGAACAGAAGAGAATAAAGTCGGTGCGGCCCACCAGCATCCCGTGAGTCCCGCTTTGCCCACACCAGGGTATGCAACCAAATATCTTCCACACACATTCTCCGGATTGATCACTTCCGGGCGAATGGTCACTGCCGTATCTTCCTCATAAATCAGGCCAGTTGGTACATATGTGCACACCTAGCAATGAGTCAAGATTTTTTCCAGAAATATTACCCAATATGAATGGATTTTTCAGCCCTAAAAAGGAAAAATCTCATTCTTATTTCGGTACCACGCTGAAGGAAGCTAAGAGTAGGCCTTTGGGCAGCAAGGTTTGTTCCCCCTGTAGTCGCCCCCTTATCCACAAGTAGGCCCTCTCGTCAGGCTTCTACATAAGAAGATAACGAACCATCCGCAAATCACTTCTCGTATTGCAGGGTTTTTGGGTTTTCTGTAGAGCTCGCGGCTTGAATTGATTGTTTGCAGTTGTTGAATTCGAAGCAATGGCGGCTGCAAGCATGACCATGGCCGTGGCTAGCACTCGGTTCGCCGTGACGTCGACCAGCGCCGAGACGAATTTGAGCCGAAACGGTGCGGCGTTGAGCAGCTTTGCAGTTCCTGTGACACAATCCTCAATGAGCTGCACGTTTTCTGAGTCTTTCTCCGTGAAGAGGAGTGGTTTGAACGCCGCCATTGTTGCAAGGGCTGCTGAGCTTGGAGAGGTTGCCACCGAGGAACAGCAAGGAACGAAGCTGTACGTCGGCAACCTGCCGTGGACATGCGACAGCGCGCAGCTCGCGGAAATTTGCGGAGACATCAGCAGTGTGGAAGCCGTGGATGTCGTCTACGACCAACAATCAGGACGCAGCCGAGGGTTTGCATTCGTGACCATGTCTACCAACGAGGGCGCTCAGTCCGTTATCGACCGACTCGACGGGAGCGACTTCGGTGGCAGGCCTTTGAAGGTGAGCTTCCCCCAGCCTCGGGAGAACAGAGACAACAAGCCTCGTTTTGGGAACAACGAGAGGGGTGACAGGCGCTCGGACAGGCCTCCTCGTCAGGGATCCGACAGAGTACTTGACAATACCAACAAGATGTTCATCGGCAACCTTTCCTGGTCTTGCGATGCTGATGCTCTCGTCCAGGTTTTCTCCGAATACGGCTCCGTTGTAGACGCCAAGGTTGTGTATGACAGAGATACGGGCAAGTCCCGAGGGTTTGGTTTCGTCACCATGTCTGCTGCTTCCGAGGTCAGCAATGCTGTCCAGAACCTTGACGGCGCAGAATTCGAAGGCAGGGAAATGCGAGTGAGTGAAGCCGGAGAGAGGCCTTCACCACCCCGGTACTGAGCACCACAGCATTTTTGGTTTTGTTCCATGTCGGCCATAGCAATTCGTCACAATTCTTTCAACTCTCCCCGGAAGAAGAGAAAGACAAGTTCGGTAACTGCGATGTTTTAGCAGCAGGCTCATATTGTTTCTTCTTCTCACACGTTCTCTAGTTGCAGGCTTCCGGGGATGTGGTCGAAGCTTGCATTTGTTAGCCAGTTTCGGCCAATTAGGATGAGCACATTTATGCGAAATGTACATCTTTCAATACAATTTCCCTCTAGTCTCGAGGGCATTCACTGCACACATTCTTGCAATTCTGCTCTGTGCATGTTTAGAACGGAGCCCACTTCGAGTGAACATGTTGCTGGTTGTCATTGGGGGTGGAAGCAAGTTGCTTCTGGGACTCCTTGGCTGACGTCGACTTCATGGGTGACGTGGACAGTCGCGCACAATCGTTGCTATTTTTCAGGATTTCGTAGATGTGGATAATCTTGGATTATCACAGTGATTCGGTGATGATAGTCCATTTGTGTGGGAGTGTTTCAGATTTCCAAGGGCATGGGCTCAGGGATATTTTGAAAAAGTTTCTCTTCTCTGCTAAAAGTTGCATCATAAATAATTTCCTTGGTCATATAGTAAGTGAAAAACATTAGCAAAGGCACTGAAATGTGACTATCTTTTTCTAGAAACATAAATCTGAGATACACATCAATATATTAAATTGCTCAAGGAGATAAGTGGTGGCTCTCCTTCACCACATACTCCCCTCAACAAACTGCATGTCTTGTGAACTTCACAATCTCTTTTACAATTCAATGAGGATGTTTTATAGTTCATTAAAGACCAATCATTTTGTTAAGCAAGTAGAGGACCATAGAGATGGCACTCCTCTCTCCACTTATTCCATGATTGTCTTTGATAGAGATATCCCATCTTCTCTTCCCATTGATGTGGTCAAATTCTGCCGTATACATTCGATGGCTTTTGCCTATGGTTGCTTACCTCCTCAAATGTGGTTCTTGATTGTTAATGGTTTTGATTGTGTAATGGGCTTGGATGTATAGGATTTGAGTGTAGATTGTGAGTATGAAGTGTGTGATATGAAGATTGTCTGTTGTTGAAAGCAAATGAGTAGTGTAGAGCCTCAGATTGGAATTGTTTGATTGCATTTGATGGTTTTAATTGCATTTGATGGATTATGAACATATGATTGTGTGCATAGGCAGAAATCATACTCGCCCAATGTATAGTTCTAGAAGAAATATAGAAAGTTCTAGAACAAATGTAGAAAATTCTAGAACAAATGCGAGTAATTGATGAGCATATGATTGTGTGTATAGGTATAGAAATATGAGTTATGATATGGATTTTTTTGAGGATGTTGAAGTTCTAATTCTACATTCTAATTTTAATTCAAAGAAGTTGGAGCTTTCTTTGTGGATCTCTACACATTACTGCAAAGTAGTTTTCTATACAAATTGGGCCTGTCATGGTTGTAGGATTGTCTTTTAATTTGTAGAACAATGCGTTTACTTCAAATCAAATTTCTATAAATTCAACATAAATTATGTTCCCTATCTTAAATTATTCTCCTTCATTTTGTACTAACTTCTTGTATCTATTTTGGAATTGACTTCTTCATCTTTGTTTTTGTTTGTTTGTTTGTTTGTTTTTGTTGTTGTTTTTTTTATTTTTGTTTTGTTTTATTTTGTTTATTTTTTTTTTGATTGTACAACAAGATAGAGCCTTTGGCTGTTGTAGAATACAAATTTCACATGTAATACTCAAAATTCTAGGCAATTGTGAATTCTAGTATTGTATTCGTGGTTGCAATATTAATGTCAAAAATTGTTGTAACAACTAGCTAGCTATTTAAAAAGAATTATTCCAAGTCAAATCTAAGTGTTCATGAATTTTGCATATAATTTTCTTGTAAGTGAAGTAAAAAATTACTAAAAATTAATAGAAGTAATGTTTCCATAATAACAACATAAATCAATCTTTAGAAGCTACAATTTGAATCTTTCAATAATTCTTTACACGAATGATGCCTATTTAGAAACCATTTAATTCAAAAATGCAATGTGGGTATATTTGAATTGATGCGCTTGCTGTTGAGGTGTACTATTGCTCACCACTTCTAACTCATGACTACGATGCAACTTGAATTGCATCAAACTGGATCATTAGGTCTTCTATAATTCTTTCTTCTACTCTATTTTTGAGATGCAAAGTGATTAGTTTGAATGTGATATGATGAGGATCTATTTGTCCTAGTGAAACAAGATTGGTCTATCTTGAGTATTTAAGACCCTTCTAATCTATAGCAACATAAAAGTTCATCACAAGGTAGGACAAACTGGACTAGAAAAAAACTAAATAAAACTAAATAGAATGGAACACAGAAGACAAAACTGAGTAATCGGAATTAAGACAGAACAAAACAAAATAAAAAGATACAAAATCCAATTATATTAAGAGAAAGGGTTTGAAGCCATATCTGACGAGATACCCAAAAGGCCTTGGCCAGTCCTATTTATACCTTGTTCTACTACTCTGGACTTTTTAGAATGTTCCTAGGTAGTAGATCCCACTTAGATAACCGCTTGCAATTCCTTCTAAAAGGTTTTATGGTGGACCTTGCCTAGATAACCGCCTTAAGTCTTTTTTAGAAGGTTCTATGGTGGGCCTTACTTAAATAACCGCCTTAAATCTTTTTTAGAAGGTTCTATGGTAGGCCTTACTTAAATAACCACCTTAAATTCTTTTTAGAATGTTCTATGGTGGATCCTGCCTGGTCTACTAACCTAATTCCAGTTCTAGAAACTTTCATAGTACTAACTATCTATTCCTATACAAATTTCTTGTCTATGTCTTGTTATTCTCAATCTCTATGATATTTATATTCCAAAGTCTCATCTTTGGCTTACTGAACAACCTAATCAAACTTAATATCTTTTTTTGTAGATAACTTGAAGTTTGAACCTATTATTGAAACATATTGACATGAAGACAAATTGGATAGAATTTATCTTACAAACACTATTCACTTATGTGATAAGAATCAATCTTCAATTGTCGCAGCTTGAATCCTTCAATAATTCTTCATATGAATGATGCCTATTTGAAAGCTGTTTAATCCAAAAATGCCATGTGGATCATTTGGAGGCATTGATATTTATTATTCTACTTGAATTCATTTTATTATAAAAAAAATTATTTAATTTTATTATGGTTTATATTGAGTTTTATTATGAATTAGATATTTTGAGTCATCTTACTCTAGAGCAAGCAAATGAATTCATTTGCAATATTTTTATAACAATCAAAGTTCATATATTCCAATCACGTCAAATTTACTTTTATGCATGACAAAATTATACTTTATAAGTGACAATTTTTTGGTAATGGAAAGATTAATTAAATTACAAAGCCAATTGGGAAGAAAATTTGAGCAATTATTATTTTTTTATTACTTTGGAGTGTAGGTATGAAGACTAAAAAAAGAAAATCATAACTTTTTGCAAGCCTTTTGTAAAGAAATCATAAATAGAAGAATTTTGTGCTTGATTTTTTTGATTCTACATTGCATGTATTTCACATCTTTTGACTGTCATTTTTCTCTCCTCTATAATAGAAGCTAGAATATCATTGTTAAATTCAAATTTATAAAGAGATTTTATGAGAAATAAAGTCATTTTATCATTTTATAGTATTATGTTAATAGTTTTTATAGTTTTCTTATTATATTTATTATATTATATTTCATATTATATCTTCATTGTAAATAAAATTCTTAAGCAACAAAATTTTATTGGAATTTTAGGAGTATTGTCAACTACAACAAGAATTGTTGTATAAAAATTAAATTATAGGAATTTTATTTCTTCTTCTTATATGAGATTTTCTATATTTAACTTTATATGTATAAATATATACATATATCTATTTGTGTATATAAATAAAAAATAAATAATGATATATTATTTAATAAATAAAGAATTATATATTTATTATTATATTTATTTATTTTGATTTATAAAATATAATATTTTAAAAAAATAGAGCTTTTTGTTGTAATAAGTTGTTATAAAAATATATATAATTTTAATAATAAGAGATGCATAGATGTAGAATATTTTTTTGTTAAAGCATTGTAGCATTATAATTTGACTAATTAAGCTATATACGTTCATTTTTATTTTATAAGAACTATGTAATTTTACTTGAATAAAAATATTTTATTAGAATTTTATAGAGGGAAAATTTAGACACATATAAGCTTATTCCAATTATCTGGTGGAACCTATATTGTTATGAAAAATCCAAATTTAATAATGAATTAAAAAGCAATTGTTGAATGACAATGTAGGGAATGTGAGAGAGTACAAAGAAAAGCTAAAATAGTTGTAAGTATTGAAGCCATGTATAATCTAGGGAGGGTGAATTTTTTGTGTCCTCGTTGTAATGCACTTTATTAATTTGATGAATATGTAGCCTAGTCATCAAGGAAGTTGTAATTATTTGGATAATTTTGTCATTAAAGAAAAGTTTTTCTACCATCTCTATCTTCTATGCCTTTATTTTAGAGATACTTATTTGAAAATAAAGATACAAGAACAAAGGAGTTTTAAGAAAAAAATCCATCAATAAAATGCTGCTGATGCATTTACGTCTTTAGGTACAAATACTGATCAATCTATGCTTCAAGAAAATATTCCAAATAATTTTAGAATAAATAGAGAGTTGCGCCATTTAATGGAAGAATTGTTATTAGAATAAGGTAATGACCCAACTTATACACAACTTTATATCCATGATTGTCAAGGATACAAAATGGAAGAAGATATATAAACTCATGAAATCTGTGTCAAAAGAAAAGCGACAAAATGGAAGAAAGTATGTATATTCAATGAAGAACTGGAATGGTTATTGCCAAAGACTAGAAAACATAAGATTCTTGAAACTAGACTAAAAGTAAGAAAGAAATTGATAAGAGTGAGGAAGGCCTAACTCTTGCCTCTATATATACTACTTAATTAAGAACTATGTGGTGACATACTATAGGACCTCTAATACATGTCCAACTTGCAAGACATATGTCTAATTTGCAAGACAAGTCTCCTAGGTATGCGCCATATGTCCAACTTGTATTACAAGTGATCAATATGTTGACACATGGCTTCTTTGTTGGCCAAATCTTCAATCTATTAATCACCAATAGACATGCATAAAGACAAAGTAGCATCTATAAAGCTTCTAGGAAGCTTTCTATAAGATATTATAAAATTTATGTATTTT